TATATCCTTTTACATATTCATGTAACCATATCATATATTCATATAAGCTCATGGTTTCATTCACATATACATGTAATCACGTAGTTCATGTCAATTCTCATATGAGTTCATATTCATATAAACATAGGATTCACCCTCATGTATCATATATACTTTCTCTTTCATATGGCTCATAACATTTCTCATGTGTTCATATGACATGTAAATCATTGTCATCTTATCATGTTATCACATAAACATATCATCTTACAATACTTACAAAAACACATCAATACCTATATTCACATATACCTATCATTTCATTATCCTTATTATTATTCTTATCATCACCATTAATCCCTTTTACTTACCATATTCATATCAATAACACATATACTCATGCACACATATAAATCATAACCAATACATACTTCTATGAATTCATGTTTTTCACTATTGGAAATAGACTTATCGCAAGTCTTATTTTCCATTGAACCTCATATACTAAATAATGTGCACTCACCTGAGCCTTGTTTTCTTTGAATCAATCTTAATCCTTAGATTGTTCCGGAACAAGCTTTATTCTATATCTACATCATAATAATACATCGATACATATCAGTATACTAATTGATATCTTCTAAATTGTCACTTCTTAGGCTAAAATAAAAGCCCATTTTATCTTTTAATGAAGGTATGCATCAATGCACTGCACAGTGTATCGATGCATTCCCCATCGGTGCATCGATGCACTACTTGTGCATCGATGCACTACTTGTGCATCGGTGCATAAAATACATTCGATGTTTGTTTATTACTGGGATGCATCGATGCATGCCTTATGCATCGATGCACCAATTGCATTCGATGTTTTTAGATTAAAGAGTGCATCGATGCACTACTTGTGCATCGATACACCTTCAAACAATTTATGGGGTTTTAACCTTGATGCATTGGTGCACTATGAATATGCATCGATGCACTCTGCCCAGAATCCTCTTTTTGAACCCGAAAATTCATTCTTTTTGGATTAAATCCTTCATATTTCAACCCCTTTCATATTCCTAACTTACATATACATACTTAAACTCATTAATATTCATTTATCTCATCTTTAACCTCTAAGTTCCATCTTTCATATGGAAATCAATAATCATACCCAATTTTTCATGTTATCCAAACTTAATTCTAACACTTCTAACTTCTTATTCTTATAGATGACAAGTCAAATTCATCCTACAAATTCATTTAAACCTTCTTATTCAAAATTTCACTTAAAAACCCATTTTCTTTAATCTTCTAACCTCTTCATCTTTGAGTTTTCACTTATCTTTAGACTTCTTTAAGCTTTCTTACTTTCCAAAGAATCAAAACCAACTTAGAATTCAAATAATAATCAACTAATAAAAATTCTCATCTTTGCTCTTGGCTTCCACGCGTGAAGAAGAAAGGAGAAGAAGAAAACTCTGGAAACTCATTTCCCTCATTTCCCACGTTTTTATATCCCCTAAAAGAGAAATAAAAATCTTCTCTTAAAAAAAGACCATAATACCCTTATTACTTTCAAACTTTACTATTAAATCCAACCTCAAAATTCTTCAATTAAAATTTTGAACTTTTAACTTATTTCGAAATTGAACACAATGCTTTCAAAATTCACTTTTAGGTCACTAGCCTGATATTGAGGATGTTACAGTTGTTGCTAGGGGGAGGCGATAGTTTTGGTAGTTAATAGAAGGGGTGTGGCCAGTTAACAGAAGGCAATGTTTTGTGTGGGTAAGGCAGAGGACGATAGGCGGTGTTTCAAGTACGCGTGATGCTCTTCTTGTGGAAATTAGGAGATTGGCGGGTGACTGTAAGCTCCTTTTCGAGCTTCAAGGTTACTTTTTATTTGTTTATGGTCAGCATGTCTCGAGGCTGATTTTAATATGGTTAATTCTAATGCTTTGCTCTGCCAGATGAACTTTAAAGCTTGTGTATTGGGGACATCTTGTATAGGGTTAGTGGAATGTGAGGTGAAAGGGTGGGATGTGGCCAAAAATAAAATATCCAAGGTGCACCCTTTTTAAATTGTATTGGTCCTAATTTCCAGCTTGTGCTTGCTAGTGGTGGGCTCTAAGTGCTTAATGGTGTAGTGGACGAGGAACTGGTTTATGTGTGTGAGGAATTGGGGTTTGTTTCGAAAGTGATGGTGTTGTAAAGTTTGGAGCATATTGAGTTTTATGTCCCAATTCGTATGCTTCTCCATGTACCGGTGTTGGTTCTTCGTTTCATGTTTTGGTGTTGTTGAGGCTTTCTTATGTATCGATTTGGGGATTATTGTAGGGTTGGGGTTTAGTGTGTATGTTTTAAGAGTTTATGTGTTATATGTTCCTACCACCTCAAGGTGCACTCTTTTTCCTCCATTTAAGGTTAGAGTGATTTTCTAATGAGGTCCTTGAAGTGGTGTACTTTGTTCCTCTTTATATGTACTTTGTTCCTCTTTATATAAAGTATCATCTTTCAAAAAAAATATTATAACGTTGATATTTTAAAGATATGTAAATAAAAATTAAAAATATTTTCATCCGCTTGTACATAACTCTTAAAGTTAGGCATAATTGCATCTACCAGGGGCAAAATTTGTGCAATAATTTATGGATCACGGACGCATTAATGAAATAATAATTTTAAATAAAATTTTATACGATGGAAATGAAAAAAATAATTTATGTAAAAAGTATATATTCATAAAACTTTATTTAAGGAATTATCAAGTAAGAGTAATAGAAAATGTATATAAGTTGAGATCCATTGATTGATCAAATAGTTGAAGATGTTTATATTATTTAATTTTGTATAAATTGGAATCTCAATATTTATTTTACAAATTGTAGAACATCTCTGTATAATAAAAAATATATAAATTTGTAATTCACTAACGTCGTAAATAATATATATAAAAAGTATATATTCACAAAATAACAATATTACAATTTATGTATTTTAATATTTATTAGAAAATTTCAAAATAGGAATAACATAGATTAATTGAATAATATTGTTTTGCGCCGCCGCTAAACGTAACCTAAAAACAAATATCTGGGAATGGGAGTTGGACCAACCTTATCGAGCCTCAAGGCAGGCACATGCCTCTGTTTGCCAACTTGTTCCACAAGTCAATATTTTACAGAAAGGGATAAAACAAATTTTACTCCTTAAAATTAGCAACATTTTCTAAATTGATATATAAATTATTTTAATCCACAATAATCATTGAAATTTGACAACTGTTCTCATTCTAATAACGTAGCACAATCTCATTGCGACATGTCGTAAAAATGACAAAAAAAAATCCAAGCTCGTAGACTAATATTGTCCCAATAAGTTCAAGGACCAACTTAAGAAAACTTACAGAGTTTAAGGATGAAATACTATTTTAACCCATTAGAAAAGGTTTCTTCTTGGAAGGTTCTCAAAATATGAAGCTACAACTCCAACTCGTTTTTCTTTAATAAATAATTTTGTTAGTTAAACTTCTTCTTTTAATTAATTAAAATTTATTTGTTTTGGTCATGCAATAGACAGTTCATGGATCAAAGGGTCTTCGCCACAAAAAATAGATTTAAAATTTAATAAATAAATAAGTAAAATGCAAGTGCAAGTAATTGATGGGATGCACGAATGGATTGTTTATTAAGTTAAAAAATTGCAAATACCTCTGAAATTTTAGTTTGTTTGCAATTTGGTCACTCGTACCTTTAAAACTTATATAAAAATTATTAATTTTTAATTCACTCTCATTTTGATTATTTTACTCAATTATTGTTAATAATAATCGATATAGTATATCACATGTTATTTTTCTTAATAAATTAACATCCTCTAACAATATTTGGGTCATTGTTTTATTAGTGGAAGTTTGAGAAAAGTATAAATTATATTTGGTGATAATTCAGTCATGTTAATTTAATTTTAGAGTCAAATGATCAAAGTAAAAATGCTCTAAAAAATTAGAGATTATCAATATAATTTATTCTTAAAAATAATATAAACAAATTTAATGTTTGAGTTTGTAAAAAATCACATTAGTTGACTAATGAACTATTCATAATCATTAAATCTGCTTCAGATATTAATCTAATTAAAATTTAATCAGTTATATTCAAAGAGTTATGACTTATCTTCCCTATTTAAACTATAATATATTAAGGTAAAATTATAGCTTTAGATCTGTTTACTCTGTTAAAATTTTAAATTTAATCACTCCACTTTAATTTGATATTTTTATTAATATGTTCGAAACCCTAAACGACATAATAAAAATATAATTTAAAGTGATGATGTGACTTTTATTAATATTTTATGAAATATTTAGTAATATATGAAAAAAATAATATATTCTATTTAATTAATAATAAATTATTATGTTAGTCTAATAATAAAGTTATTTTTTAAAAAAATTACGTCATCAATTTAACAATAATGAACAATGTTGTTGATTTATACGTAAAAATATATTATAAAATCAAATTATATTAAACTAAAATGCAAAGACTAAATTCGAAAATTCATCACGGTAATGAAACAAAACAATAATTAGCCAAATACTAATAAGATAATCCGAATTTACTCGAAATTATATATACATTAAATAGCATTAATAGCAAAAAGTTAAATGTATAGAAATAGTATCAGTAATGGAAGAAGTAGAATTAATTAATTAACATTATTTTTGTGTGAATTGGAGGGAATGGGTGAGCGGTTAATTTAAAAGTCATTTCAATTACGGGTAGCTTAGCGGAGAAGAGTGCGCAGGTTAAGCGAATATGCTTTTAAGCAAATTGTTTGAATAACTCATTTGGTAGAGCATAAGATTTTAAATATTGAGATCATGAGATCGAGTATGAAAAATTTATAATTACTATATATCTTAACGGAAGTTACTCTCAATCGAGTATGAGACAATCTACCTCGCCTTAACCCCATTTAATATGGAATAAGATCAACTATTTTTTTGATAAAACATTAATCAATTTAAAAAAAATCAAAGAGAGAGAAAGAGAGAGAAAAAGAAATCGAAAGAAGAAGCGGCGAACGGAAAAGAAGTCGCCGTTGATGATTGATGCCGAAAATGAAGCATCTCTTGCGGAAACTCCACATCGGCGGTGGTTTAAATGAGCACCAACGATTGGCGGAGGTGCAGCCGATGATCAGCTCGAGTCCAAGTCCGAAAGTGACGGGACAAGGAACAACGACGTCTTCTTCTTCTTCTTCTTCGGCGTCTTCTGTTGATTCGGGTACAATGGGGAGAATCGGGACCGTTGAATCGATCGGGGGAGATCGGACGGCAGGAGATGAGGTGGATGTTAATTTATTGGAAGAAGAGTTTCAGATGCAATTGGCGTTGGCGATCAGTGCTTCGGATCCCGAGACGGCTCAGATCAACGCTGCTAAAAGATTTAGCCTCGCCGGCGCCGGCTCCGACGCCAACGCTTTTGTTGAGTTACTCTCCATTCGTTATTGGGTAATATATTATTTCTTGTTACATATACATTTGGAAAAATATTATATTAATCATTTATAGGTAATCCGAATTGCAGTTCTTGTTTGAATCGGTTTTAATATCAACTGCCTTTCCCCCCTTTATTCTGTTGATGAGGCCATTATATCTATACCTTTTACATGATTTGGTCGCATTTCATATTTTCTCATTAAATATTTTCTAGTATGTCTATTTATTATCCATTTGCGTTCTCCATTATTCATGGATTGACTCTGATAAAAAAAATTCAATTGTTAAAGACTTCTTTTTATTGTTTCTGTTTACAGATGCTTTTGATTTTAATGTCACGCTCGATTAATCCTGCTACTTCTATTAATTGAAGTTATGCTAAATATATCATTGGTACAATCTTCTTGGTTTTCATTAATTCTATCCGATAATTGATCATCTTTACTACTTGAAGTTTTGCTGGTCACCTGCCAGCTATGGGCTGTGTTTCTATTGTTTGAACTTTCATCTTTAAGCTCTGCTATATTATGCCAGAGACATTTTTAATTATAACTAACTGGGAAGCTCTTTTTCCCTTATGGTTTCTTGCAATAAACTTTGCATGTATGTTTCTTTGAAAACGTATATATTTCATGTTTCATTAGTAGGGAACGTTAGTGTTGCACTTGCCTTTCCTGTTATTATGAATCTATGATTCTATTTTATTTTTCTGGTTCAATTATTTCAGTAGAATACTGTTTAGGAAATGCTGATAAGGATATGAGTACTACTTGATATTAGTTTTTGTCATGGATTTTTTACTATTAAACCAATTGGTTTTCCTCAGTTTAGCTGTACAGGCTGAAAGGTTCCTGTTCATGTCTCCTGTGAGACAAGTGCCAGGATCTATTAGTTGATTTTTTTTCTTCTTTCTTATTTTGGGGAAAACTAATTCATATGTTGTGTGTTATTTGCAGAACTATAATGTGGTAAACTATAATGAAAAAATTGTGGATGGATTTTATGACTTGTATGTGGTTGCCTCAACCCTTGGTCTGGAAGGGAAGATGCCATCTTTGGTTGATCTTGAAGCAGTGTCAGTGTCAGAAAAGGTTGATTATGAAGTAATTTTGGTTAACCGGTTGCTTGATCCTGAACTGCAAGCACTTGAGAAGAGAGTGTATAACATATATGTGCAGTCCCTAGCCATAGGCCATGGCCTGGTTTTGAGTGACTGGATTCAGAAAATTGCAGAAATAGTTGTCAACAGAATGGGTGGGCCAGTAGCTGATGCTGAAGAAATGTTGAGAACATGGACCTTGAGAAGTTATGAGTTACGGAATTCTCTTAACAGTATCATTCTTCCATTGGGAAGAATTGATGTTGGACTTTCGCGCCACAGAGCCATTCTGTTTAAGGTTTTAAATCATCTTATTTCCGTAATGTTAAAATTAGCCTATGAAAGGAGTGTGTTTTCTTTTAAGCTAGTCAGAATATCCTGCCCCTTTTTGCATTTTACTCTGAATCAATGATAAATGTGTGTGGGCCTTTTTAAGAGAAATTCTCTCTTGCTTCTGCTTCTAGGTTCTAGCTGATAGAATTAATCTCCCATGCATGCTGGTCAAAGGGAGCTATTGCACTGGCACAGACGATGGAGCTGTGAACTTGGTTAGAATCAACAATGGAAGGTAGTTTCCTCCTGCTGGCATCTAGAAATTCTTCTTTGATTTTACTAACCAATCATTGCATTTCTAGAATTTGTGCACATTGGGGTATTTTTTCTTGAATTTCCTCAACATGTTGTTATACAAGTTAAAAAAAATATCTGCACCTATTGTTAGGTTGATATTTTTCCCCTTTTATGCTAAATACAGATAAGTCTATTTATTTATTTTTCAGTGTCATCCTGTCATCTGCTTTACGCGGTTTTGTTGTCTAGTCAATGTGAAATTTTTTCTTTTGTGTTGCCACAAGTTTTGATGATGTACAATTATCTGAAATAATGCAGCGAATATATTATTGATCTGATGGGTGCTCCTGGAACACTGATTCCAGCTGAAGTACCAAGCTGTCAGCTTCTAAGGTCTGCACTGGATGTAAGGGGCTTTAATGAAGTCTCTCAAGGTTCGTGTTTGGTATTTGACAAAGAAATCGAAAATTTGGCAGTTTCAGCTGCTCTAAATATGGGAATTAAAATTGGTGCCACGAGGGCAGCAGAATATGCGAGCAGTCAGACAAATGATGATGGGAGGAACCTTGCCAGAAGAGATGTTAGTGAGAGATCTGAACAGGAGTTCGGGAAGCTTCTTCCCTCGGCACCCAACTATGGTGATAGCTTTTCTGGCATTCATGAAAAACCTTCACCAGCACAAAAGAGAAAGGTTAAAAATGTTTCGAAGTATGTTATTAGCGCAGCAAAGGACCCAGAGTTCGCTCAGAAATTACACGCTGTTTTATTGGAGAGTGGTGCATCACCTCCTCCAGATTTGTTCATGGATATTAGTTCTCAGGATCTTAGTGAACAAAGTATGCCTGAGCAAGTACTGATAGGAACAAATGTGGCTACTGCTGCTAGCTGCAATTCAAATTTGTTAGGCAATGAGCATTGCCTTGTATCCACTGGAATGGAGGCTTCAGAAAATATTAATTCCAATATGAGGCAAAAGCAAATGGCTAAGCACCAAAGGGAGTTAGAAACTAATGTTATATCTGATGCTTCAAACGAGGGATTTCTTCTTGGTAATTCAGCTGATGGTTGGATACAAGTTCGCGAGTCTTCCTTCTCTGCTAATGAGTTTTGCCAAATACAGCCAGAAAATGTCTTGGCCATGGATGAGAAACTACTACAAAGGACTTCTGGCACTGGTTTCAATAAAGAATCTGCGTTGGAATTGATTGAAAGCACAAATAGTGATTTGCATCTGGCTAGCAATGGATGCAGTGAGAAAATTTATCCTATGCCAAGAGAAGTTTCAGAATGGGAAATTCCATGGGAGAATCTTCAAATTGGTGAACGCATTGGTATTGGTAAGGTTTCATAACAGCGCAATAAATCTTGTTCCTTTTAATACATGTCTGTCGCTCCAATTTCCATTATTCCTTTTAGTTCTGGGTAGCATATTTCAATTATTAATGTGATACAACTTGTAAACCAATTAAAGAAATTCTGGTAGGATGTCCTGGTTTTTCTGTTTACAGTGGTTGGACGTACTGTATGAAAAGCTGAATCTAATCAGCCAAAAATCTATGAATTGTTTGACTGTGCATCCTACTCTCCAGTCTCAGATTAATCAATCATTTATCAGTATATTATATCTCTGCTACGCTGGCATTTGGTTTACCACACCTCTAGATGTAAATCCAGTATGGTTCGCATTCTATCTGCACAGGATTGTGCAAGTCTTCTAGACTTGATCGCTGCAGATGATGTTTGTGAAATAGGTTATGCCTGCTTTTTGGTTCTGTTGATTTAAGAATAGGAGCTATCTCAGTTGTTTGAATTCTTTTTGATATTCATGTTTAATTAGATCAACAGTAATATGATGTAGTAGTTGCTTGAACATGACTTGATTGTTCTCTACCAGTCCATACTTCCATAATAAGTGAATACTTGCCTTGCAGGATCATATGGTGAGGTCTACCGAGCAGATTGGAATGGCACTGTGAGTTACATTTGCTTCTAATTTAATTTCATGGAACTTTTTGGAGTAGCATACTACTAGATGTTACGGTTACCGCAATAACAGTGCTACTGCTACATGCCAAAATTTCCCTAGGTTATTAATCTTTCACTGAGTCATGACATTGGCATTTTTTATGCCAAGTTCTGTAACAGGAAAAAAGATTAGGTCAATGTGATTAATTCTGGTAATATGTGGTGTGAAGTTAGTAAAATCTAAAAAAAATCTCCGACTGCTGTGGCAAGTCTATGAAGAGATCAGCAGCAGTTTCTATTAAATAATTCTTTTATTGATTGGTTACTTTATATGGGTTGTTCGAAACCTCTCTTTAATGTCTTCTAATGGTTTTTACATTTTGAGGTTTGTCTAATTGTCTTTGTTTTCTCTTCAGGAGGTTGCTGTGAAGAAGTTTCTAGATCAAGACTTCTCTGGTGATGCATTGGTTCAATTTAAATGTGAAGTGAGCCCAGATAGTTACTTCTTATATATGTTTATTTCTTCTCATGTTTGTGGGCTCAACTATTATGTATAACTGAATGGCTTTATTGATCATCGGTGTTTGATTACCCTGTGCAGGTTGAAATCATGCTAAGATTGAGGCATCCAAATGTTGTTCTTTTCATGGGAGCTGTTACTCGTTCTCCTAATTTCTCTATATTGACAGAGTTTCTCCCCAGGTTGATTTTCTTTATACGATCCAAGTTATATTTTTACTCTACAATCTAAATTTTTATATTTTTACTATTTCTTTACTAATCAGAGAATGAACCTTGTTTGCACGTTATTTTTTATTTGTTATGGGCTATGTAGCGGCCATTTTGAACTTCATGTTGGTTTCCTTCTAGTTTTAAAGGTTGAATCCTGAAAATAATCTTAATCTTGTACTTTGTCCCTATGTTGCTCGGATTCGGGTGTAAGTGACAGACACGGGTATAGCTGGATTTTTCCAAGTTTCTCTGCTTGAAGGATCCTTGGAGGTCATATCCCTATATCCAAGTTTCGGACATGAGTATTGGATACGGTTACTTCATAAAAAATGAAGAGCCTGAGCAACATAGCTCTGTTCCGATCAGAATGTTGTCCATGATTTTTCCCTTATGTTATGTTTTTGATACGTGTACCGCAATGTAAGGTACTTGGTGCCTGCATCTTGTTCTTTGCTGTGTATAAAAATGATGAATCATTCTCTTCGGAGTTTTTATTTTTATTCAGATAAAATTCTGAAGCTCTCTATTGTTGATCTGGTTTGTATTGAGAAATTGATTACTTTAAAATGACAAGGTTGGTCATCCTGTCTTAATTTCTTCTTGCCCCTCCCTTGTTTTGCAGGGGAAGTTTGTATAAGCTACTGCATCGATCCAATCCTCAACTCGATGAGAAAAGAAGAATGCGAATGGCTCTTGATGTGGTAGGAACCACAAGTGGATAAATTACTTTCATTTCTTTTGCTTCTTTTCATGCACTAACCTTACTCCACTCGCCCTTTTCCTTCCACTCTTCTCCCTGCATGGATGTTTTCAAATAGTTGATGGAGCATTCTTATTGTTTGTAGGCAAAAGGGATGAATTATTTGCACACAAGCAATCCTACTGTAGTGCATCGAGATTTGAAAACACCAAACCTCCTTGTTGATAAGAACTGGGTCGTAAAGGTGCGTATCTCAGAACTAATTTCCTTCCAAACGTCTTGATTTTGCTCGTAGTTTATTTAAGCAACTTTAACATATTGCTTTATTTTCTACTGAAAAGTTCCTTTCAAATTCTTTTTCCTGATTTGCTTCTCTGTTTAGGTCTGTGATTTTGGGTTGTCACGCATGAAGCATCATACTTTCCTATCCTCAAAGTCTACTGCTGGAACGGTGATATTACTAAAAGATAATCCTCGATGTTCACTTTTTGTTGTCTTACTTTCCTATCCAAATCCATCATATCCTTTTCTTGAAGTAAAAGTTTGTTGTTGAACTGCAGCCTGAATGGATGGCACCGGAAATTCTAAGGAATGAGCCGGCCAATGAGAAGTATGTCAGTTTAACAGTAAATTAGCATGTTTTTACTTTGACATATCTATTATGTTTCTTATACAGAGTGGTTTGGTTGCAGATGTGATGTGTACAGTTTCGGTGTAATATTATGGGAATTGGCTACTTTATGCATTCCCTGGAAAGGTTTGAATCCAATGCAAGTTGTTGGAGCTGTTGGATTCCAAAATAGACGTCTAGAAATCCCTAAAGACATTGATCCGGTGGTTGCACAGATCATTCGTGATTGTTGGCAAACGTGAGTTCTAGATGCTATTTATGTCGCAATTTTCCTATATGATGAGAATGATTATAAAATCATTTCATCCGATCTTAGCTTCAACTACTTTCTTTTGAATGTTAACTTGATCTCTCGTTTCTTGGGCAATCCTATAAGCATCTGCAAAGATGGCAGCCTTTTGCATGCATTAAGTCAAAATGCAATTACTTTAACGAAACTCCCGATAACCTTCCTTAGTCAGTTTATATAATTTAGTCATTGCCCGTGATTTCCGTGTATCGTACGTACCAACAACGATGATATTAATGAGTTTGCTGTTCTTTATGAGCTCGCTGTTCTTTATGGTCTGCAATGTTATTATTATTACTATTATTTTTGTATTGATCCTTCTTTGTTTCTGATTCCTTTGCCAGGGAGCCACATCTACGACCATCATTCACACAGCTCATGTGCCGTCTACGGCGACTTCAACATCTGTACATCGAAAGGCAAAACTCGACAAATCAAATTATAGAATGATAAGGTACACAGTGTTTGATGTAATAAGTACTCGATTATCCGTTTCCTTGGTCAAAGACCGAGGCAGACGGTTTTCTTTTTTCTTTTTAAAGTGCAAAGAAAGTTAGTCGGGAGTCGGGGAAAGTGTCGGCTCATTCGAAGTGGGAGATCGGCGTACTTCCCCAATCCTATAAATAGACTGGATTCAATCCTCTTTAAAGTAAAGCCTTTGAGGATACCTCTTGAAAAATTGTGTTTTAGTATCATGAATAGGTAGAGCCTTTGTCAAGTGTAAGAAAGTTACCAAAAAGGAAAAAAAAGAAAAAGAAAAATAATAAATAGTCTGCCAAATTATTGATCTTTTTAGGTCTTTGTTTTGGGTAAAGAAAATCCCAATTCTTGGAAATTGTAAACATTTGATTTTCTATGTGAAAAAACATAATAGGTAAAGGAAAGAAAAGGGTATTGTCTGCAGATAAGGTTTAGTGGTTCTTATTGTATGCAAAAGTACATACTCCTATTTATGTTAATGGCAAGGAAATTTCAATGGATCGGATTTAAATGGGTAACTGGTTTTTCTGTTCTGATTATCTAACTTTTTAATGTTTTAAAATTATATTTAATATTATGTTTTAGTTTTATTTTAATTATCTATCTTTAAAAAAATAAAAGTATTGATTTGGTATTATTTAATAATGATATGTCAGTATTACTGTTAAAAAATTAGCGACGATTATTGAAATAAAATCAAAACATAACATTAAATATGATATAAATCAAACACATTAAAAATAATAGTTGGATAGGAAACATATAGTTTACTCAATTCAAATTTATTAGGCGTTTAATCTAATATTTCTTTTGGTCCTATGATTGATTTGATGTTAGACTGAGGGTAACGTGAGAATCATGGTACCATAGAAACAACTATAAGCTAAAAACCTTTTTGAAAATAAAAGCAAAAAGGAGTATTATGAATTACATAGTCATACGGTTGATGATGAGGGGGTCCACCTCCCAGATTGGTTCATGATTCATGGACCTTATTTCTTTAAACTTTTTTGATCATTTTAAAATTGTAGTATTATCCTATAATATTCTATAACGGGTTTCTATTTATATTTTGATAGTGAAGGGATAAAGTAAATCATGATTTGACTTCACATGTCGTTTATCTTAGTCTATTTTTTCTTTATTTTTGTAGTTGTTTAATTAAAAAAATTGACTAAGATAATCTAAAACTATTTTTTATCAGTTTCATAGTTGTTTTGATATCTGTTCAACCTAGCTCTTCAAAAATGATTTTGATTTTGTACTTGGATAAGAAATTCATGAAAGTACAATCGATGTATTAGATTAAAAAAATAAAAGCTTTGATAAAAAGAAAACTGGGAATGAGTACGAAAAAAAATATTAGACATTTAACCTAACAAAAGGAAAAAAAATCTTTAAAATATCTAAAACAAAAGGATACCTAATTTAAATATTTATTTTTTAAAATAAAAAAAAATAAAAAAATTGATGCAGCGTAGACTTGATGATTAATGTAATCGGTTGCATATATCTTAAAACAAGAGATGCATTTCGAATTGATATTTCCTTTATCCTTCACAATCTAGTTACAAAATTCATTCAACTTGAAATCTTCCTACCGTACAACATAGTACCTAAATAAACTATATATATACACATAAATATATGTACACACAGCATATCAGTAGCTATACTGAAAGCGTATATCAAAATCAGTCTAAAATCCCTCCATGTTACAGTTCTTCAACTTCAGTGTAATTAACAAAACTGGGAAATGTGGTAGTAATGTCCCTGAAACAACGATATCAATCCACGATAACCGAATGAGCTAATAGAAAAGAAACCGGTAAAAAAGAGAGAATAGGAGATGGTTCACCAACTTTAAATGAGGAAGAGTCATGTTCCTCAAGAGGCCAGGACGTCGAAGTACGAATGCTTTCCATTCTTCTTTGCTGATTCGACCATCTTTGTCGGCATCGATATCGGCAAATGTCTGGCGAGCAGATGGAAAACATCTTCATGTTACAGAAAACTACACAGGTAACTAGGAAATAAAATCAAATTCGGAAATCTAACTTGGTCGATGATAGACTCGATAAGGTCATCCGACAGTTTCATGTCGGATTCCATCAAAAGGGCAACTACCATTTGCTTGACCTGCATTCAACCAACAGCTTAGTATGTATGACCATTTTGCAGAATACTAAATTCACGTCAAACTGATAGCTCGAAGAAGAAAAACCCTGAGTTTTACTCACTTCTTCCCGTTCGATAAACCCGGTTTGTCTCAGATCATACAACCTAAATGCAACTGCAAGGAATTAACGTTATACGGTTAAATAAATCAAGCTTTATTGATCTAAAGCAAATGATTTCTCTGCAAAACCTACAATCAATCTTATCTTCTACAGGGGAGCATGGATGAAATATGTTGAGCGCATGGACGAATTCGTCGAATTCGATCACACCATCCTTCTTTTCATCAAAAAGATCAAAAACCTACAAGTAGAGAAAGATTATTAGATATATAAAATACAGTAAAGATTCAAGGAAAACTCCCTTTACAACATTCAAAGAAACAGAAAGTTTTCAATCCAAGAGAGCACACAAGAAATGTGCAAAAGTTTTACTTTACCCTGTCAAGGAAAAGATTCTCTCCATATGGAGTTTGGAACAATGCCAACAGAAGCTCTTCCTGCAACATAAAATAGCCCATCAAAAGATAATTAATGGCAATGAAACCAATTTGGCTACTGAATCTCAATTTACCTTGTGAATCGACCCATCATCGATAATTGAGCTGCTCAATTTCTTGAATAGTTGGTACAATGCCTCCACTTCATTCACTGTAACTGCATCGTATGTTCATAATCAATAAGTAAAAAACCATTCAACTTCTTCCCCAAAGTGAAAAAAATGCAAAGAAACATAGATAAATGAGAGGAATAAGTACATCGAGATTCATTGGCAAGACGGGTAATATCTGAGAACCCATAGCTGCATTTCTTGAGGCGAGGCTGGTAATTGAAGCAATTAGCCATTTTCGAAATCACGAACTCGACCACCAAAACAACTGGGATGAACGCCACACAGATCCGCTCTCCCAACGTCAGAGAGCTCGACTGTTGTTCATCCGCAACCCACTGCACAATAATTCACCACTAAAACAATCACTCTCAAGACCCACCAACAATGAAAAAGAAGAATAAACTTTTGGATATTATTTTAATGATTTACGAAAAGAAGATGGGTTGATAAGAACCTACAAAAGGCATGTTTCTATTCGTTGAATCCATGGATTCGAACCACCGTACACCAGCAACTGGAGAGCCTTTTTGCTTCACCCTCTTTCTCTATCTATGAACTTAAAAAGAAGATAGAATTTTGAATCAAATGTAATGTTTTTTTCACCGACAATCTGTTGCATTTACATTTATTTATCCTTGATTCACAAGTTTGAAAGTAGGAAGCTGCAATTAAGACAGAAGCTTCGCAACGCTAGAATGTTCACGCTCCGTCTGAAACTCAAGTTGCCACTTCCGGAAAGATCCTTTTCATTTCGTGTTAACGTTTGGGTCAAATTGTGGTGTTAGTCCTTGTATTGTGATCAAATACTTTTAATATAAATTGACTCCTTATTTTTATAATATTGTTATTTAATCCTAATAATTAAAATCATAATTTTTTTTTATAAAAAATACCCCCTGTCTAACATGAAGGATCAAAATCATAATTTCACATTTAATTTGATTTATACATTTATTAACTTATTTCTTAATTAATAAGTTTTTTTAATGAATTTTATGAGGCAATATTTTAGAAAAGATAATGTGTAATCAATTGTTTAAACCTGTAGACATTTTCTAGATGGAATCAAACATATAAACAAGTAATTTAAAGATAAGACATCTTTTTAAGGAAAGATAATAAAAATGAATAACAAACAAATGTCGCCTATGATTAATGTAATTTTTTATGAGTTACTATTTAATATATGTGTTGTTTAAAATTTATTTAAAATAAAGGATATATTTTAATTTTAAATATAATAAAAATGTATATATGTTATTTTAAAATATTTTAAATATACTGAATGATCTCAGGCTTTAGTGATAAAAAATATTGTTATTCTTAGAGGATTCGAGTTCGCGCAATTGTATCCGCAGAGAGATTAAGAAAATTCCGAGCATATATTATCTTATAATTACCTAAAACTATTCAATTTTTCTTTGAAAAACTAACTTCCAATATTACATTTTAAAATCATGAATCTATCCTTGCACATAAATTCTACAATTTTAAATCTTAAATCCTAAATAAAAATATATATTATTAAAATAGATAAATTATGTGCACTGTCTGTATATAAAATAATTATCGGCAATAATGCAATCAATCATAAGTTGTTAGATTGATTAAATTAAAAATAAAATATTATATGCATTACTCATTTATGTTTTCAATAATCGACGGTTGGACGTTTAAAAGAAATAATCAACGGTTAGTTATTATAATAAATCATTATATGGGCTGTGGACTGAATCGAGATAATTAATTTAAGGAAAATTTTAGAAGATATGACATACACCGGTATTCACGATTAATGATATTTATATATTGATATTTATTATTATTTTTATAAAATATATTTTAAAATCTTTGAGGACCTAAAGGGAAATTAGTCCTATATGTAATTGAGTTTTAAATATAATATGTTTAACTAACGTTCACTCTTTATCATAGAATGGGTAATTAACCCACTTTAACTGATATGTGTAGAATATTGCATTTTTTTAATAGTATTATTTATTTTTCATTTTTCATTTGAATATTACTAATTCATATCTTTTTGGGCTTGCTTTTCATTAGGAACTTCATTAGATTAATCAGTGCAAAATCAAGCAGTTAAAAGCAAAATTTAAAGTTCATTGGAATTTATGGCAGGAATTGTATGCACGAATAAGACACGACGCAGTCCGAGTCTAAGCCAACATATTTCGACAATGCAGTCAATAGCTTCCGGAAGGCGACCCCGCATTATTTTGAAGTCAAAATTTGAAATTATCGTAAATATAAATGCCTAGGAGATAAATAAGAAGTTATCTAGAAGATAAAACACGATTCTTAAATATTTTATCTTTTGTGATAACCTTTATTTTTAAATTTAGGATTTTTAGTTGTTTTATAATTAGGATTATCGGGTATAAATACCCCTAGGTTCAACATTTGAACATATATTGAATTTTGTATTTTATTTTCTTTTCCTAATGTTAAGCATGATCCAATCCATACTTCATTGAACTTCCACTTATGACTCAATTCTAATCGTGAGAATTTAGTTGCATTTCACAACTTTGAATTGTATTCTTCGATTCTATGGAAACCAAGAGTGACAATATATTATTCCTTAAAAGTTACGTCACATTCATCTCAAAAAATCGACGTTGGTTTAAAAGTTGTTTTAAATTGCGGTTTTAGGAGTCATATTGATTGATCGTAAATAGGCTTCATGTGAACAAACTTAGTGATAGTCCACTAAGGGGAATCAAGATTGAGTTTGATTCTCGGAAAGACGCTATAACTCGAGTTGGGTTCTTCTAAAATTTAAAGTTGTCTTGGAGCTAACGACGATAAACATGGTTATACCATCAATGATAGGATTTTAGAGATAGACTTAGAAATTTTTGTTAACCAAAAAGAATAGTTAGCTATGAGGGTTAGGCCTTATTGACTGTAACTAGCATACATCAAGGAGAAATTTCGATCAATCGAAATTGTGGCTAGCAAAGCCTAAAGCTACATCATCATTATCAAATTATTCTACCTTTATTTACTTTTAATCATTTTTTGTTTATTATTTATTATTATCTTATTACTCTAATTGTTTCTAAAATCCCCTCTTTTATTTTTGCATTTATCTCAATATAAGAAACAAGTGTTAATTTTCTTCGTCTCTATGGGTTGATCCTACTCCTCTATACTACTTTCCATTATTTATTAAAAATAAGATTTATTTGACAAAATTGGCACTTGTCATTAACCCATGAACAGCTATTCCCCTTTCCCCTTCACCATCGGCAGCGATCCCCCGCTCCCTCTCCCCTTTTACCCATCATAGCACTCTCCTTCTCCCATGGGCAACAACCACAAACCTAATCAATGATAAGGGTTGGTGAAATCAATCTAGTCGACGACAACTTTTGATGCATTCGGTTTTAACTTTGTTTAAGGTAGTCAAAATCAGATTGGATGAAAACGACAAGAGCTTCGTAATGTAAAATTATATTATCACGGACCACGAGCTCACATGGCGTGACAATATAAATAGGATAATTGTTTTAATTAATTGAACATAATTAATCATATAATTGAAAGAAAATATTTAAAATTTGATGTTTAACAAGGTCAACCAAAATCACGAGATAAAAAAATGTCAAAATTTGTTTTTAATTTTCCATCGTGTATAAATTGTTGATTTAATCTTTCTAATTTAATTTGAAAAACATTTTTAGTTTGAAAAGCTACATGTTTAATATTATTTATGATTTTAAAAGTATTATTATTTTTTGAAGATGACATCCGAAAATTACTAGTTCTTTGTCACACAAGATCTCCAAAAGGATCTCTCTACTTACTAGAATGTCTAAAGAACTCATATCCTCTTAATATAATAGTACCATAACCTTTGAGCCAGCTATAGTGCATGGACAAAACCTTTAACACACCCACGTGATCTAGCGGAATAAAAATTAGGAATTTAACAATCATATTTCTTTAGTCTACTCACTTGCAAGCAACCAATGACCTTATATTTGGCACCATCAATAGTGTCACTATAAATACTTTACAGTCATGATTGAGAAATGAACTCTCTTTCTCTTAACCATTTTATCCAAATAAACTCACATCTTCGTCCTATAACTTCATCCCTCACACATCAAAATATTAGTAAATGGTCTTCCTCTCAATAGTGACTTTCCGTTTAAATCAGAAGGAATCAACTACCAACGAACGACAAGATAAATTTATTTTTATAAAAAAAATAGTTTTAAGAGCCAATGTTAAACAACAAACACATCCTAAATCTATTAAGTCAAATTTTATTATTAATCTCGATATTATACAAAAATTATTGATTTAATTTATATACTCTAATTTAATTTTTTTTTCATATTATGCACTTATATGATCTTATTAACATTTTAAAATTTAAAAACTATAAAAATCAAAATACATTAAATTAAAATACAAGGACTAAATCTATAATTCTTATATAGTATAGGGACTATTAATGAGACAAAAGAAAAATTGTTGACATATATAATATATTTGTGGGTAAACTACACGTTTAATATTTAAATTATTAATTTTATTTTGTTTTAGTACTCAAATTTTATTTTATTTTTAAAATTATATCTAACATTTAAGTTAGGTTTCAATTTGATATCCGTTGTTAAAAAATAAACATAATTAATGATGTGACATTTTTTCAATAATCAACGTCACCGTTAAGTTTTTAACGACAATGTATCAAAATAAAATCTAAACTAAACATTACGAATGGTTTTGAAAAGAAATTAAAGTTTGAGTACCAAAACAGAATAAAAGTAATAGTTTAAGTATTAAACTTATTGTTTACCCTATATATTTTTCTCAAATCTTTGAACCTTAATTAATGACGACAAGTTGACTCCCAGCCGCCAATTGTTGCTTTGTACTTACCCCATTCTCTTTCCGTTTACCGTTTCTTTTCCAGTCTTTCCAATTGTTTTCTCTTTTACATCTACTACACAACTCCGTTTCGGCACTGTCTTTCTCTCTTAAATTTAATTCCTAGCTGTTTTCAATTTCAATCTCATCATCATCTCTTAAATTTCTCAATTTGCAATAATTTAGCAGCACAACGGAGAGGTCTCTCTTAAGCTCTTAGCCTTCTCGCCGGCGCGTGGTTTCCAGATGTTGAGAAAATCAAACTGCTCCTACGAGCTTATTACAACCTTTTTCTTCGTTGCTACTTTTTGTTTGGCTTCATTTTCACTCGCTCAACAACAACTACAGCTCTCTGAGTCGGATCGGTTCGATGCCGACGCAGACGCAGACGCAGGCGCCGGAAACGGCACCGTTTCAAATGTTTCTTCGGTAACTAAACCGAAGGAAGGCTCCTTTGCTGCTATCATCGATCGTGCTCTGGAGAAGGAGTTCAATGAAAACGAACAAAACGAAGGTTCATTTTCATTTCCCCTCTGATTTTGCTTAGATTAGGGATTTGATTTCAAATCCGTACATCTGAATTGTACTAGTAAAGTGTTCAGCTTACGCATGGTTGTTTACTTCAAAATTTCTAGT